AAGAAGAAAAGGGAGAAATCACCCCTGGGGGCATGGCCACACCAAAATCCCTTCCCTTTCATTGTCCTCTTGGAATTTTGGGCACACATGCACGTGCACCTGGTGTGATTTTTCAAGCCACTGGGTCCAGGACTCAAATCACACAGTTGGCCATGGGGGAACCAGTGCCTTAGCCTCTACACCAGCTGCTGGCCCTCACTTTTGCAGATTTTATGCTTCATTTCAAGCAGAAATCTGGAGGACAGATGTTCTTACCTCTTCTAACTCTTCTTGGCAATTTCTGCTACTTAAACCTTAAACCCTATTTCCAGTCCAGAAACATTTATAATTAAGTCAACTATAACAACTTCCCTTATTCTAGAACAAAATTGTATGACCTTATAAAATCAAAGAATTCTGTTATCACTTAAAGTTTGGCCTCCATTTCTTTTTTTAATCTTTTTTTTTTTTTTTTTTTTTTTTTTTTACAAAAAGTTTCTTTCCTGTTAGAGAGAGAAAGAAAGCAGTTATCCCAGACAGGCTCTTCATGCCTTGGGTTCTTCCCAGTCTTCACAGCCAGCCAGGAACACGGGTGTACCCATGTGTTCATGTAAACTCTAGACATGAACCTGACACCTTCCCAAATGGCCTCCCAGCATCCTCAGCAGCACCCCGACTGCCCATGCCCCAGGTGCTTGCCTCCATTTCTTCATCCATAGGATAGGGATAAAAATAGTACCCATTTAATAGGTTGACTACAAGCATTACTTAGTTCAGCATACTAGCTGGTATACAGTAAGCCATGAGAAAACAATACTAGAAATTATTATTCACTGAAAGTACACAATTCCCCACTCCTGAAAAAAACACCTCACTAGAAAAAGAAAACCTCAAGGTAACAAAAATTACAGAGCAATCAATTGTTTCCACGGTGCATTGGCTCCTGTGTATCTGTAGTACAAGATGCTCCTGGAGTCTATAGTCCCTGCTCATCTTCAACAGAGTATGCCCCTGCAGATCGTCCAGCTTCTCATTCACTGGGCAAGTATCAGACACCAGGGCTTCATTTGATGCATGCAGAAAATTTCCGCACTAGCGACGTAAAATTTCCTGCACTGCCATAACTTGGGTAGCAAAAATCTACCACCTTGGAGGATTTTTCTCTCTGCAGTTTTTTTCCCCTCACTTCTGGCAATAAGAATTTCTGATGTTTAAAAATGAAACACTAATGGGACCAGCAGTTGGCGTAATGGCTATGTTGCTGGACTCCCATGTAGGTGACTGCAGTTTGAGTCCTGGACCCAGTGGCTTAAACTCACACTGGGTGCATGTACGTGCGTGCCCAAGATCCCGAAAGGAGAATTGAGAATGGAGAAGGGATTGCGGCGTGGTCATTCCCCCTAGGGGATTTCTCTCTGTCTGTCTCACTCTGTCTTTCTGGCAGGCACATGCGCCCTACAGCAAAAACCTCTCAAAAAAAAAAGAGAAACAACAACAACAAAAAAAAACCCACTAACTTAGTAGGGCGTGCTTTCTCTGGATTACTTGTGACTCCTTACAACTTTGTGGAGATAGGCAGTATGACCGCCCTCACTTTTCAGATGGGGAAACTGAGGTGTAGATTGGTTAGTAACTTGCCCTCTTCCCTGTGAGCCACAGCAGAGCTAGGATTTAAGCAGGCTGGCTCCAGACTCAGCATTCTTAACCCGTGTGTTAGCTGCCTCCACAAACTATCAAGCACTCCCCTGCACCCACTTAGCCTTGCTGAAGCAATTTTCATACAAATAGTTGCAGGGAAAAAAACAATGCTGCCTATACCTACCTAGATATTTATACTGTTCCTCCTTGGTTCCAACTGCTTTGAAAGACACTAGCCACGGATCCTCCTCGAACTTTTGGGGTAAAGTCCAGGGGTGCTTATGTGACAATTTAGGTAATCTTGGGTGACTCCGAGACCAAATCAGGAAGCTGCCTCTTCTAGAACTGGGTGCTTTACTAATACAATACTTTTACTAATGCAACACTAATACTTTTCAAGTAACTGCTAGTTACTTGAAATGTGGCCGACTCAAGTTGAGATGGGGAAAGTAAACGCAGGATTTGAAGACCTGCTAGGGAGAAAATAAGGTAGAGGATTACACCAACAATTTTTATATTTGTTCTGTGTTGAAACAGTATGTTGGGTTACTTCAAAAAATATTAAAAACGTCACGGGTTCCTTTTTGCTCTTTTAAGGTGACAATGAAAAACTGACCAACACCCACCGATTTACGCGGCGTTTCTATTGGAAAGCGCTGGTCTAGAATGACTTCAGGGATGAGCTCATTCCGAGCTCCGGGATGTTTATATCATTTACATAAAACCCCAGGTGTCTCTACTGTGCGACCAAAATGCTTTTATTTCTCTCCTCTTTTTCCCCCTGTCCCTTGTCCTGAGTGCCTTCTGAAAACCTCAAGTAGGATTCTGTTTCATTTCTGTTTTTCTCCATCTCTCAGGGCCAGGTAAGAAGATCACTCCCCCATCGCAGCAGGCAGAACTCATCCAGGAGTTGCCGCCCTTAAATCAGAACAAAGCAAATGTGGGAGATTCATTTCTAAAATTCTAACTGGTGAAATGCCAAAACCACGGTTTACAGGACTGGCTAAGGTTCTCCCATCGCTCAGCCTCAGTCTTCTGAAACCCTTTCGGTCACCTTTCTCAAGGAGAGACACAGTAACTGTCCCGTTAAGGACCCCAAAGAACTCTCGGACCTCTGTTAGAAGGGACAGCCCCACTTGCTCCCCGCCTCTGTAAGCGGTGACGGGATTCTCGGCTCACCTGAATCCCTTCATAGCCTCTCTCTGAGAGCTCGCAGTGTCCTTATTCCTAATCCACCTCCCTGTAACTCGTCTTCCCTTCCAGTCGCCTGATGAACACCACCCAGGGGTGCCTCCCGTCTGAGGACACAAACTTCAACTTTTCTAACTGCTCGGCCTTGCGCGCAGGTGGGTGTGTGAGTGCAAGGGGCCATCTCCTCCGAAGACTGGAGACACTTCTCTTTGTCCCCGGTGTTCCTCACCCCTCCGACGGGATCCGGGTGGCTGTCCCTCCCCAGCTCTCCCCCCTGGTACGACGGGGCGCTCCCTCGCAGCTCCCCAACCAGCCACACAGGCCCCCACCGCGCGCCGCTGCCCCACCATCCCGGTCGCGGAGCACCTGCCCCGCCGCCCTCACCTGGGTCGTCCTCGTCGCGGGGCACCTTCTTGAAGCAGTCGTTGAGGGACAGGTTGTGGCGGATGGAGTTCTGCCAGCCGGCCTTGCTGCGCTGATAGAAGGGGAAGCTGTCGGCCACGAACTGGTAGATGTGGCTGAGCGTGAGCTTGCGCTCGGGCGCGCTCTGGATGGCCATGGCTATGAGCGCCGAGTACGAGTAGGGCGGCCG